AGACTGCTTGCTAGCACTGTGGCGAAACCACACATCTGCCAGAGGTCTGTGGACACACCTAAGAGCATCTTTTAAAAATAAAACCCTATTCTCGGCTCCCTTGTCAATTATTAGCTGGCGTATATGCGAGGGTTTATTTCTGGGCTCTCCGTTCCGTTCCCTGGGCCCGCGTGTCTATGCCAGCGCCACGCTGTTCTGGTTACTACGGTTTGGTAGTAGAGTTCGGCATCAGGAAGCACGGTGCCTCTGGCTGTGTTCTTTCTCAGGATTGCTTTGGCTACCGGGGATTTTTTGTGGCTCTTTACCCATTTTAGGATGGGTTTCCCCTATTTCTGTGAACATAGGGATGGCATTGGCTTCATAGGAGGCTTTGGTGATGTGGGCATCTTTAACAATATTAATTCTTCTCCAGAAGGGAGAAGCAGTGGGAGGAGCAGTGTTGGGAAGACTGGATAATCACACGCAGAAGCATGAAAGTGGGTCCCTTCCTTACACCACTCCCCAAAGTGAACCTGAAATGGGCGAAAGATGTAAATACAGCGCCTGACACTAAAAATCCCGGAGGAAAACCCAGGGGAGCTCCTTGACCTGGCCTCAGCAGTGACTGCCTGGATAAGACAGCAAAGGCACAGGCAACAGAAGCAACGATAAACGCGTGGGACTGCATCTCACTAAAAAGCTCCACACGGCAACGGGAACCCCCACCAAGATGAGAGGCCACCCATGGAATGAGAGAAAACATCTGCACATCATCGATCTGATTAGGGGTTAACATCAGAAATAGAGAAAGAACGCACACAGCTCCATGGCAAATAAAAAAAAGCAAAACGCAAGAACAAACAACCATGAACAAATGGGCAGAGAACCTGAATAGACACCTATTGAAAGAAGACACACAAATGGCCAACAGGTACATGAAAAGGACCAATTATCAGGGAAACGCAAATCAAGACCACCAGAAGACGTCACCTCACACGCGTTAAAATGACTATCATCAACAAGACAGGAGGTAACACGTGTGGGTGAGGGTGTGGAGGGAAGGGAGCCCTGGGGCGCTGCTGGTGGGAATGTAAATTGTGACAGTGACCATGAAAACCAGTGTGGAGTTTCTTCAAAACGTTCAGAGCAGAACTACCAGAGGATCCCGCCAGCTCGCTTCTGGGGACGTGTCCAGCCACAAGAAGTGCAAACAGGATCTTGAAGAGATAGCTGCACCCCACCCTCTGCCCTCTCCCCCCCCCACCCGTGCTCACTGAAGCGGTATTCACAACAGCCAAGATATGGAAGCAATGTAAGCGCCCGTCAAAAGGTGAA